ATCTAGCTAGTCATGTTCTTTCCATCTATCTACACATTCAAATCCTTCCATCTATCTCTTCAAACATTTTTTTCTCCTCAAAAATAAAATAAAATAAAGATAAAAATAAAAGATAAAAGCAAATAATCAAAATAAAAAAAAGCAATAATAATAAGAAATATAAGAATAAGAATAAAAAAATAAGAATAAGAATAAATAAATAAATAAGATCTTTTAAAAAAAAAACACATAAAAGATACATAATAAATTACAATTGGAAAGCATTTGGTAGGCAAACAGTTTCCTTTGTTTAGCTGAGGGAATAGGGTGGGCCAAGACAACTATGCATAAAACATTCGTTAAAAAAAATAAATAAATAACATCAACAACCACGGACAAACATTTTTCATCAGGAACAACAACAATACGTGGAGAAGGAAAGAGATCAAACCAGAAAGAAGAACATCAAAAAGTGGATATAAACTGATTAGGCCAGAGTACAGTTCGGAAATTGACTGTGAGGACAACAGGCTTAACACAATTGTTATTAGGATTTTATGCTACTAGCCATTTTCTTGGACAAATGCGGAAATAGAGGAAGCGGAGTAGGCGTGGATATTCAGTGGGCATTTTGGAGCCTTTTATTTGGACGTAGGCGATGGGTAGGGAGAAAGGTCTGGTAAGTTGTAGGACAATTTCAGGACCGGAAATGGGCATAGTTAGCGGACTCAACTTTGGAGATGTACATTCATTTTTGGGAGAAATCCACCCAGGACAGGTAGGCATTTATTGTTTTTGATTTTCTTTGTGAATACTCATCTACTTCAGGAGGTAGGCAACATTCTTTTTTTTGGTGTTTCCACAGGAATGCTGTGGACAGCATTAAGCTTGGGGGGGATGTGGTGATCTGTACCTGTGTAAACACCAACAAGAATGTTGCATAAGCTTGTTTGGACACTAAATGCACAACAGGTGGTATTCAGTAGGATTGTTTGTTGACTACAACCAAATACATGACATCAGAGGAACACAGCTGACTATCAAGGAGGTCTCCAAGGAAAGATTATGACATCATGGATACGGATGCTAGGCTAAACAGGAAATTCTTCTTACACCATGGATACGGTGGCTTGGTTACACAGCAGATACTATGACATCATGGATACGGAGGCTAGGCTACACAGCAAATAACATCA